TAAATAATGAAGGTAATTATACCTATTCTGTTATAAAAAAAAATTAGAAATTTGTATTTTTTTTTCACATTATATTTATGTAATTATTCTTTTTCGTAGGTTGATGCGATCTTAGATTCAAACTTTGAGCGTATTGAAGAGGCTTTAGAATCTGCAAATCGAGCGATAAGTACCGCGACACCTGAAAATGTCCATAGTGAAAGAATGGTAAGTTATAAATCATTTTACAAATTTTTAACAGCAATATGTTCATTGAAATTTAACATTGTAATTTTTATAGCACCATGAATTCAATTATATCTATCAAAAAATCTGGATTTGTCTATCTTGGGGAAACATATTTTGACCTAGCTTTCGGGTTGTTTGAAAAAGGAAAAGCTGATCCGCGAATATTGATTCGTTTATTTAGTGATTTAAAAGATATAATTTGTGAAGATGAGCCAATTTATCTTTATTCTGGCATTGTGTCTATTTATGGCCGTTTGGGTAGCATTGATAATATAGGTAATCAATGTATTACATATTTTATTTTAAGCATTAAAGTTTCATTAACAAATTGTGTATCCATGAAATTCTATAGTTTCAAAAGGTCTTGAAAAGAATTATGATCCACACACGATGCCGGATCTTGATAATAATCCTGTTGCCCAAGAACTTCGTAAACTTCTTTTCTCAACATCAAAAGAAATGCTACAAAAGTTTTTGATGAAAGATCGGGAACAACGTAAAGTACCGGGGCGGGCTTTATCAAAGGAAGATAAAGTTATTTTACGGGTAAGCGTAAGCATATTTGTAAAAAAAAAATTTTCTGCTTATATTCATTCCTATTTGTCTATAACTGTAACAATAGGCTGTAGATAATGCACTTCTTCGGTTATATGCAGAATGTGATGATTCTGATGATTTATTAAAAAGCCTATTAGAGAGCGAGAATGAATGCACTTTAGCTCTTTGCGAACAACCTCTGATTGACGCTAAAGTAAATAATTTTAATAGGTTTCTTTTCGTTCAGATATTTTTGAATCTATAGTAATTTGACATACAAGATTATATAATCAATGGACTATTTTAGAAAATATATTATTTGGCCCTTCTTTATAAAGAGAAAAAGGAATACGCTAAAGCTTTGGAAATTTGGCATAGGTAAGTTCTTAAAATGTGAATAAGACAAAAATCCTTTATTTTTATTTTTTATTTGTTGTTTAAATAATGAATGGTTTTTTGTAGCATTATTGAGCAGGAAAATCCTGAAAAAGGTTTACATCAAATAGTAGACTTACTTGGAAAATGTGATAATCCAGAGTTGTTGTGGAAATATGCAAAATGGGTAATCCAAAAAGATGAAATTATGGGCGCAAAGGTTTAAATATTTTCAATTTATAAACTTTTTTATGTCATTACATTATTTAGAACTAAAATCATGTATTAATTTATATAGATATTCACTCAAATGGATCCAAAAAAACCTATGATTGTTGAACCTAGTATAGTTTTATCTGAATTAAGGTCAGCCGGGAAAAGTGGCTTAAAAATACTTTTAGAATACCTGGTCAATCTGCGTAAAAGCCAGGTTAGGATGATCTTTTTAAGCTTTGAAAGTCATATATTTATAAAATTAAATCAAATTATATACATTCTTTATAGGAAGAATCGTATCACACAGAACTAGCAATTCTATACATACAAGAAATTATGGCTGAATTGCTCAAGGAGGAAAGAAGGTTGAAATTCGAAGAAATAAGTACTGTATTAAATATATCACTTCCTTCTCTAGATTAAATTTACACCTAATGTTATTTTTGTATATAATTTTAGATAATGAATTCATGAAAGGCTCGGAAGATCCTGGGCTAACATATTTGACATTCTTATTGAACCAACATACCGACGATTCGTTGTCACAGGCTCGGGCTAAACTTATAATGTTTCTTCAATCTTCAACAAAATATAACGCGGAAGAAATTTTAGTAAAACTGGAAGAGGTCGAGATATTGAAAGCGGAACTTGCTGTTATTTATGGAAAGGTATCCGAAGTTTTTTGAAATTAAAAATTATTCGGACAGTTCAAGAAATAATTAAATATTTTGTTCGCTTATAGTTAGGCCATCATGAAGATGCTTTGTATATCTTAATTCGTGATTTGAAAGATTATCGTGGTGCCGAAATTTATTGCCTTAGCGTGGGTCGTATAATTGGCATAGTTCGCAAAAATACTAAAAAACAAGTTGAAAAGAAAATTTCTGAAGAGAAAACCCTCGTTTCAAATAGAAAATGTCTGTTTTTGATGTTACTGAAAGTTTATCTTAACATAGACAAAGGGTAATTATTTATAAAAGCTACAATACTTTAGGCAGTTGCTATATGATTTTTGATATTTATAATCTTGATCACATTTTAGTACAAGAGAATTGCAAGAAAAAATCATTCATTTATTAAATACACAAGCTGTGTATATGGATATCATGGTGGTAAATAATACTCATTCAATTCAAGATTTATTTATTTTTCAAATACGCTAACATATATATATATATATATATTGTAACACGCAGGTTTTGGAACTTCTCCCTGAATATTGGTCAGTTCATATATTGAATGAATTTTTAATTCGTTCTTTAAGACAAACCTACCATGAATATAGAGAGGGTCAAATTCTCAAAGGACTTTGTGAAAGTGAAAAAGTAACGGTAAGCAATAGTATGGTTATTTATTATTTTTTTTATCAGTAGGTTCAATTTTACGCGCTAAGTCGACTAGTAAATTATTTATCGTTTTTATTTTTATTATATTATTATTTTTTTAATAGATAACTTTGGAATTATATAAAGCTTATCAAGAAGGGGAACCATCTGTTATTACACAGAATGTTGTATGTTCTTTATGTTCAAAATATATTAGTGGATCGGATTTCATGAAACAACCAAATAATGATATTGTACATGTAAATTGTGATCAAAATGAAAACATTGATTGATTTTACAAATCCAGTAAGTGTTTAGACGGGTGTGTTATTTTAGAATATTAATTTTTTATTGCGATAGTTGTATATATAAAAACTTTTGTGTATAATTAGATAAATTTTGTGTATATGTATTGGCTTTTTAATTTGATTTTCGGTATTTAAATTGTCCTTGATCATGATATCATTCTATAATAAATAATTTATTTTTTTGAAAAAAATATTAATTTAAAAATGGTTCTTGATATTAAAATTTATAGTTAAATATTTGGAGTAGAACTTTACAATATTTGCACCGTAACAAGTACTAGTGCCTCATCATACCAAACTGTTTGGGATATGTAGAATCCCAAATGGTATTTACTACAGTAGGTTTCATAAGTTGCCTCTGATTTGCCGTGATGCTAAACATTTGACATATAATTTATGCCATGGCAAATGTTTACATGTAAAAATTGAGTTTGGGACTCATCCCAAATCATGGGATGAATCTATCCGTGATAATAAATTATATAGTTTTAAGAATTCACGTTCATTGTTTTAATACTAAGGAACGAAAAAAAAACTTTATACAAAGCTTCTAAATTAAAAATATACAAAAGAATTAATCGTATACATGCAGGAATACGTATATTTCCAGTATTCATACTCTTTTCTCGATCCGACTAAGTCGATCTTTTATAAAATCGACTTAGTCGACTAAGTCGATTTTATCGACTAACGCCAAGTCAACTACAATTACTAAACCCGATTCTTCTATACTCAACCCGATTCTTCAATAATAAGCTTATTCCTATTCAAATAAACAACAATTAGCAACAGAAATTTATTAAATATAACTGATAACATAATAAAGCAGTATTGAATAAAACGCTTGTGGTACCGTATTGTCGCGGAATAACATCCACCTGCGCGTTATTTAGATAATTTTCCCGAACCTGGTTTTTCAAATTATTACGTACCTGTGTTGACACCTTATTAGAGTTGCGGGTGAGACTAATTTTGAGTTTCGCCACGCCACAGTTTCAACCAGGATTTCTTATTGGCTATTAAATTTATTTTCACCAGTTTCACCAGTATTTACCAAACTTTCACCTGTTTCACCTGTAACTCTATATCTTATACGGGGTACGCGTTATTTCGGGACGCGCATCTGCGTTATTTTGAAATCATCTATGCTATTTTCATAGGGTATTATTTCTAAATAACGCTCATGCCCGTTATTCCGCGACAATATGGTAGGCATATTTTGTCTTCTAAGCAAAGTTCCTTAGGAGTTTGATCTTTTTTTTTTTATTCTTTTGCATAGTGAATGCTAACATTTTGTTGAAGCATAAACAATAATTGCGTTCTTGAATGCATAAATAAGTTACCCGGAAAAATCCTATGAAAATTGAATTAGATATTGACAATATCAATCTTTGAACCTGGGTATACCCGATTAGAAGTCTTAAATTTTTTGAATAATTTAAGTTTTAATATTACATTATTAGCAGTCAGACCTCTCTAAATGCAACCTCCCTAAGTGCATAGTCTATGAAAAACTTCTCTAAATGCATGGTCTTGTTTGGCCCCAACTCATATAATGCATATAGAGTTTTACCTCCCTAAATGTAAGAATATGTGATCATAATCTCGGCTAGAAAACTTGCATCTAACTAGAAAGCACAATTTATTACAAACTGCCCATAAAAGGCTAATACAAAAAATTGAAACATGAAATCTCACGATAATGTTGCCCTGTCACTCATTGACAGGCTTCTTAATATTTCTGAATTTATTTTAGATTAATACTATTTCGCTTTCTGGTTTGCATGATATATAGCGATGTTATCCAAATTATTTGAGATGTTCTAAACTATGCAATAAATAGTATCATCTTAAGGTATTTATCGCCGTGTTATTGCTAAAACCGTGTACCGTAATACTATAGATCACGTAGTTTGGAACGTCTCAAACAGTTTGGATAACTTTACTAATGATGGTATTACATAGCTACTATTACTACTTATGAGAACACTTTATTTTACTATTCTCAAAAATTTTTAATAGTAAACAGTAAAAAATTTTTACTACTAAATTTGAACACTGGTATCATTCACCTTATGTTCCTTTTCAACACCAATTCTTTGAAAATAAACAATATCCAACATCATATGGTCTATCAGCGTCACTAGTCATGTTCATTCTTTTCAACTCCAATTCCATGAAAGATGGCAATATC